GGGTCAGTCGCAACTCTTGCCGCTCGGTCACACCACCTGGCCTCGACACTCTGATGAAAACGTTGTTCTAATGTATTGTCAACTGGCGGTTTTCGTGTACTATATCAGAGCACAAACTTACCCCTTCGTTTCCCTGAACACACTCGGCCACCTTTCTGAGGTTGTCGTGGTTGGCTCGATTCACATAACCAAAGTTCCGGATTTCATCTCCAGGTTTCAGACCGGCGGATTCTGCTGGACTTCCTGCAGCTACGGTGTTGATTTTGGCAAAAGGAGGGTCTAACGGTGTAGAAGCTGAGTCTGGCAAGATGCCTGGTGAGTTACTCGAGCTTGCAACTGGCGCAGATTCATTCTCATCAAGACTCGCAAAATGTTCATGAAGAAATTTCTCGATCCGGGTCATGAGAGCAGTATAGTCATTCCGCAGTCGAATGATGCGAGCTCGTGTAGTCCTGACTGTCACGCTGTCAGTGGTCGAATCTTGAATCTGGATATATTGAAATACTTTGAGCAACGTCGATGTCACCTCGAGGGAAACCATCGTTTGTTAGGAGAGAAGTGTTCATATCAACCCCATGCTATGATTGTGTTAGAGCATTATAAGTGTTATTTCGTAAAACTCGTGAATACCGAATCAAGCACTCCTCCTAAAGCCTTGAGTTCGGCCTCAATATCGTCCTTCTTTCGCTGCAACTCGGCAAAGCTTAGATGCCCCGCATCGCCATTCGTGACAGGAGCAGTGGTTTCCCCTGAGGGCACTGTCGGCGCGTGTAGATTTTCCATTGTTGGAATGGAGACACAGAAAAGTGAAGTTTCTGAAACTGAGAGCTTCCTACTATGTTGTCGGCAGAAAGGGTTGAATGTGAAGACGTCTTTGTCCCAGGCTGTGAAGGGTGACGCCGCTTAGACGGCAGGGAGCTTTCAGGACTTTTCAGTGCACATCCTCCCTACAACAAAAGAAGTGCAGAGGACCTGTTTAGTGATTTGCGTTGGGAAGCTAGTGCTCCATGTAAAATACTGGTCCGTGCACATACTACCCGGCATTCTGCATGAGGCTCCGAGCTTGTGCTGGCGACGTCACTTTTCTTCCCTAGCAACTTTTTCTCAACAACGCGTCTCTTCATACTAATCAAACTGCTATTGCGACCTCTCCAATATGGCCACCGGGGTAGATGCGCGACTCTTGAAGTCGACCAGATTCCCCCCCGAGTTTAGTCAGAAGGTTGACATGCAAAAGGTCAATTTGCAAGTCATGAAGAAGTGCGTGATCTGATTGCCGGCCTCGTGTTACAACGTGCTAACTCCTCCATTCAGATGGATCGCCAGCAAAATTTCCGATATCCTAGGAAGCGAAGATGACGTGGTGATCGAACTTGTCTTCAATCTCATCGAAGGACCGCGATACGTATGTTTACCGAACCCTGACAAGTTCAGAATGCTGATATGTACAATAGCCGGATATCAAGTCACTGCAAATACAACTCACAGGGTTTCTTGACAAGGATACGGCTGTGTTCTGCAAAGACCTGTGGAAGTTATTGCTGAGTGCCCAAAGTAGTCCCCAAGGCGTCCCCAAGGAGCTCCTTGAGGCCAAGAAGCTGGAGCTCATCCAAGAGAAGGTATGCCAATCACTAATCCTGTACAGTTCGATTTCTGATGGCATTTGATCCAGATCGAGGCAGACCGCGCTGCAGAAACCGCTAAACAGAGACGAGACGACTGGGATCGCCGCGACCGTGAAGTAGCCGATCTGAAAGACCGCGACCGCCGCGACCGGGCTGCTGCTCGTGGAGATACCTGGCAAGGGCGCCGAGGCGACCGTGATTTCGAACACCGGGGCAGAGGGGGTTTCAGGAGGGGAGGTCGCCGATCAAGATCGCCCGGCCCTCGCATCCGTGATACCAGGGACTCATATGGACGCGATAGTTACATTCCACGAGGAAGACGTGGTAGTGGACGCGGCGACCCAGGCCGACGAAAATCGCCCCCTCGATCACGTTCGGAATCGGCATCGCCCAGGCCGAGCTCAAGAAGTCGCAGTGCCTCCCGAAGCACGGATCAATCGAATCAACGACAAAGACCTGTCTCTCACGGGGAACAAGCTGACACACGCAAGAGGTCGCGGTCACCTAGAGGAGATACATATCGGGGCCGGGCAAACAAACGTACCGAGAGAGGCCGGCCAGGTCGTCCATCTCGATCTCTGTCTTCGGAGCGAAATTCTCCTGCACCAAAGCGCAGACGTTACTCTTCATCAAGGAGCCGCTCTGTAACTCGTCGAAGACGACCGGCTAGAGACATTTCCTCATCAAGATCTGAACGGACATCATACTCCCGTAGTCGAAGTCGAAGCCACAGTTATAGTCGCAGTCGCAGCCTTTCCAGCAGCGCGTCACCGGATCGCAGGACCAAAAGACGGCCGAATCATGGACGTGGTCAGCAGCCCTCTAGGCAGAGAGATTCGCCTAAGGGTAGACGGCGAAATAGTTCTTCAGCTTCTTCGCGATCAAGGATTCGAGAAAATTCAGCTGATGTTTCTGAAGATGGATCTCGTGCCCTGCCAACCAAACCCGAGGCAGAGGTTCCGGCCGAATGAAGTATCTGAGGTCAGTTGGCCATAGTGTCTTGAGCCGGCGCAATCACTGACTTGGTTTGTTCGCCAAGATTTGACCTTGCTCCTTGCAACGCCTGTGTCACCAAGACGAGGATGAGAGTGATCGAGGTTGTCTTCTCCTGGGGAAACCTAAGCTAACAATTTGTTCAAACCCTTGTTGAGCCATGAGCATAACTATTATGCTTGCAATTACTGACTTTACGGCGTTGGAAAACAGGAGCATAAAGAAAAGCTTTCTTTGTAGGATATTGACAGGACCAAGGACACATATAACTATCAAATAAATTGAAGCCTTTATCAAGTTCGAGCACCTATAATCAGCTAGTGAAAGCGTTCAGTCTGGACCATATCGGAGACAGAAGAGCGGACTGCTTCTGAATCCCTGCCTCAGAGATATAATCTTGGTATCGAGCTCCACCGTCACAGAACTCACTACACCAGGTTCAACCTGGCTTATCTTCCGTAGTATAGTGGTCAGTATGCAAGCTTGTCACGCTTGAGACCCGGGTTCAATTCCCGGCGGGAGAGTTCCAGCCACCTGCGATACGCAGGATTTCATTTTTGCTTCATTCATAACCTTGATCATTTTCGTTGTTGTTTTGTGGTTAAATCCATGATTTAACCGAGATGCATAAGCGTCTAACGCGGCTACCCGCGCTTCCTTTTAAGCGCCCCGCATTATCCAATTGCAACCTAACTTGTATCCTTCCAGACGCGACCATTCATCATCCCATTTGACGAGGACATCCATCGAGTGCCGAATCCCAATAACGCCGACCTGCCTAGACGACAACGCGCATGGCTGAGAGAAAGGCATCGAACGGAGCTGTAGCTGGTACCGGACAAGTGACGATGTCCGAGTACAAGAAGGCGCAAGCTCGGGTTCGGGATCTGGTCGAGAAGCGCAGGATGCTAGAGAAACGCTTGGTGCGCATTTGCCCACTGAGTGTAAACTGTACTAGAACTCGGCTGATATTTTCATAGACACAAGTTGAAGACAGCATCTCCCAGAAGGAGACTGCATACCTCGACAGCACACCAAGTGGCAACATCATCACCGGTTTCGACAACTACATGAAGGGCATGAGTGGCGCGGCAGCACAGCGACGAAAGGCTGGTCCGATGGAACAGAACAGAGTCTTTTCACGATCGTCGATTTCCTACCGACCTAATAATCTTGTATGGATGAATATCATTTACAGCATCACACGGGATAGGCTAATCATGCTTTTCGTAGGAGGGTATCACACCTGGATCAGGAGGCTCGACGCCAGCTGGCGCGACACCATTATCCGCCGCATTTAGAGACGGACCCTCGAATCACCCGACACCGACATCTTCGACTGCGGTCAAGAACGCAAGCAAGTCGAAGAAGAAAACGGTCGAGCACGAGGACAGCGAAAACGATACTTCGACGAGCAAGAAACGAACAAATTTTGGGGCACAGCGCAAGTAGCGTATGTATAACGATATACTCATGAGATTGGGCGTTTAACAGGGAATGGACTCAACCGTAGGGTCAGGATGGCGTTAGGATTTATAATATAGGTCAACCCACCAACCAGAAGGTGGTTTGGGACCGAGATCACGATAGTTTCAAAGTAGCACGAAACTATTTTATTCATAGGGGAGGTTATCAAGCATTTTGGAACCGTCAAGGCACCAGAATACTCAAAGAGTTTGCGTCAAAGAGCACGCATAATGTCTGTTTTTCTGCCATCATCTTAACAAGTGAAGATTCAATTGCTTGACGTTAGATCACCTATAAAACTCACGGTAGTTCTCCCGTTACTGGGAACTGCCTCACGGCCGAAGTTAGGTACAGTGTATGGTCTTCCATTTGTCGTTACATATGTATATTTAGGCCGTGTGTCATGTCTTGAAACCATTTTAAGCTATCCCACGTTAACATGAACGAGATCGAAGCGACGTCGCAATGTCCGTCAGGTAAGGTTGTGGCTAATCGCAGCGATTGCGGTGAGATTAGACCCTGATTAGCTCTTCAACTTCTATAGTTGCATGTAAAGGGATTACTTTCGTATTGAAGAAACATTCTCTGGCCAGTATTATGATGAACTTTTGATTTAAAGGTTAGGTAGGTAGCACTAATCATAAAGGAAGGTAGCATGAGCAGTGGGTTCACCGGAAGAGAGGGGCCGAGCGGGCGGCTGGCCATGAGAATGAGGAGTCGTGAGGGGGAACCCATGGCACTAGCACTATAGGTGTTCTGCATACCTGGGCTGGTTGTATGATGAGGGTGTCAACTGGACACAGAGGTTCTTGATTCTCCTCTCTTCAACATCCCCAAGAGTCCTTTACTTCGTTATTTCCCAATCATATCACTTTCAATTACTAGAAACGCATTCTCTCCCTCTCTGTCTCCATGATGACGAGGCAGGCCACGCGGTTCACGCCTGAAGTGCTGATTTCGGCCCCGCGTCGTTCAACTGGAGTCCCAAACTCCACTGGGGAGCTCATTCTCTACACCGTGAGTTGGAGCTTGGCAATGCCTTCAGCTGGCTGTGTCAAACTTATGCTAACATGTTCAGATCTCATCGTACTCATTCGAGAGCCACTCCAAGTCGTTCCAGATACGTGTTCTCAATATCAAAGATGACTCTTCCCATCTCGTTTCCGAGGACGCTCATGTTAGCGATCCTATTTGGATCGGAGAGAAAGAGATTGCTTTGATTAGAACAAATGATAATGGCTGCTCATCTCTCTACCAGCAGCATGTCTTGGATGGTTCCGAGTGAGCATATATTAAAGGCAACATGTCGTCTCCAGGAAGCTAACAAACGTATCAGGGCACGCTTGATCAAATCTTTTGCAGGCAGCATCTCTAACCCAAAGGCAAAAGCACTATCTGATGGCAAGGTTGCGTTCATTTGCTCCGCATTGACTACGCCCAAGGGCAACATGTATTGGCAGGCAACCGAGCCCAAGACATACACAACTGCTAAGATATATACCGACCTTTTCGTTCGGCACTGGGATGCCTGGAACACCGAGAATCAGAACTCGCTTTGGTACGGCGTGATTACTAAGAAAAATGCTAGATGGGTGTTTGAGAAGGATGGGCTCACAAACCTCTTGGCCGGTACGCAACTGAGCTCACCTGTCCCTCCTTTTGGTGGAGCAGGGGACTTTGACATCTCAGAGAGTGGAATCGCCTTCGTTGCTAAGGATCCAGAGTTGAACCCGGCGAGAAACACCAAGACAGATCTGTACTACGTACCCATCAGGTCTTGGACAGACAAGCCTCCGCCGCCACAGATCGTCAAGACTGGACGACTGCGCGGCTATAGTAGTGCACCTACTTTCTCCAATGACGGCAAGAAGTTGGCATTTGCTAGAATGAAGCACCAGCAGTATGAATCTGATAAGACAAGACTGTTGTTGATCCCCAACGTGGACGACTTGAGTAACGTTCAAGAGTTTTACCAGACAGACGATGATGAGGGTGGTTGGGATTTGCGGCCTGATTGGGTTGTCTGGAAAAAAGACGACACTGAGCTGTATGTTGCGGCTGAGAAACATGGGAGATCAATGCTTTGGAAGTTACCATCTGATACTCTCAAAGCTCGTGATCTTCCCGAGGCTATTCACAAAGAAGGGTCTGTCGTTGAGGCACATACTCTGGAAGGCAGTGACTCTCTCTTCATTACATCCAAGTCGCGAATCGAGAGCTCGAGCTACGGAGTCCTGGACCCGGAGACCAAGGTTGTCAATGTGATCTCCACCAGTTCCAAGAACGGCAAGACATTCGGTCTCTCCACGTCTCAAGCCAGCGAGTTATGGTATCCTGGGTCCGCCGGCTATGATAATCACGCTCTTGTTATGTTACCCTCCCACTTCGACAAAAGCAAGAAGTATCCTTTGGCCTTTCTAATACATGGCGGCCCTCAATCAGCGTGGACAGATGATTGGAGTACTCGTTGGAACCCGGCCATCTTCGCTGAGCAGGGCTATATAGCTGTGTGCCCCAACCCGACCGGCAGTACTGGATACGGGCAAGCTCATATTGATGCGATTGCCAACCACTGGGGAGGTGCCCCATATGAAGATCTGGTGAAGTGCTTTGAGTATCTCCAGAATCATGTCGATTATGTTGATACTGATCGAGCTGTTGCTCTGGGAGCCTCATACGGTGGATACATGATTAGTGAGTCCAAACGCTCTTGGGCTGTAGTTATACTGACATGAGGACAGATTGGATTCAAGGTCATGATTTGGGCCGCAAGTTCAAGGCCTTAGTGTGCCATGATGGCGTTTTCTCAACACAAAACCAATGGTCGACTGAAGAGCTCTTCTTCCCCGAGCATGATTTCGGTGGAACATTGTGGGAGAACCGCGCTGGATATGAGAAGTGGGATCCGTCTCTGCATACTGGCAACTGGTCCACCCCTCAGCTGGTAAGCATGATACCAGGCGGCGACAAGAAATATACTGACACCTTTCTAGGTCATTCATAACGAACTAGATTACCGACTGCCCATCTCGGAAGGATTGGCCATGTTCAATGTCTTGCAGGCTCGTGAAGTGCCTAGCAAGCTCGTCATGTTCCCCGATGAGAATCATGTGAGTGGTGAGACAATTGGTATATCCTGATTATTTGCTGATAATCGATGCAGTGGGTGCTGAAGCCGGAGAACTCACTCGTTTGGCATAGAGAGGTCCTGGATTGGATCAACAAGTACAGTGGCATCGCAGATGACGAAGCCAAGCTCGAGAAACAGACCGAGGAGATGACTGTATGAATACGTACGCACCACTGAGAATGTTATCAAGGTATTACATCAGGGGGGAGACTGTGTTTGGAGGAGAACACTTTGATAAGCGTTCAGGTTGGAAATGTGCCACAACGTGATATGCTAGGAGATCGTATTATATATTTCATCGATTTATCAACCAGCAACCAGAAGACGACCATCGTGGTATTTTGTGGCTCTCTGAGACAATGGCAGCCTATATCTAACCAAAAGCTGTGAATAATGGTACCACGTGTGTCGAGGCTGCGCATACGCTTAATCATAGGCTCGCCATGGACTTGCCATGAACCTGATCACAAGGAGCCCGATCATCAGTATAAATGACAACCTAGGTAGGTATGTATGCAAGGTTAAACAATGACAATGCTATATTCGTAAGTCTTCCATTTTTTGCTCAGATGATCAAAGCCAGTTTCATAATGGAGAAAACCTAGAGAAAAAGGTTTTTGACATGATCTTCGGTAATTGTTTCTCTCAGTTTTACCCATGCCGTTCCATTGTTATCGTAACATCCACCAAATTGGTGTAAGTCGTGTGCCTACCTACTCTGGGTGTTAATACAGAGAAGGCTCCACTCTTTTTATTGTTAGGCCGCGCCTATTATTCTTGCACCTCTACTCTGATCTGCACTTGCCCCAAAGGGGCCAACTTCATACCTTTGGAGAAGCTCATCGCAACAAGCTTCAATAAATTTTGTGCAGATTCCAGGCACATTGTTCGGGTATGCGCTGTGAAGCCATAGCCTTAAGTACCGATGACGGCCAAGCTTTGCTCCCGCGACATCGATATTGAGACGAATCAGCAACTTATCAACTTTCAAACGCTTTCCTTTGACGATCGCAAGCCGAGCGCCCCAGTGACCTAATCACCATTTTACTCTCGCACATAGAAACTACAACAATCACCAGACAAATATGACGACACCCCCGTCTCTATTTCACGCGCTTCTCCGGCCCTCCATACTCCAGATATTACGCTCAACCGGATATCATTCCACGCGCCCCGCGGTCCTCGACTCTTTGACAGATCTTGCCGCCCGATACCTGTCGCTTCTCTGCCAAACTACTGCCCAGCATGCGATGCATAATCAAGGCGACAGCGCTGACTTCACAATCGCTGATATACGGATGGCGCTTCAGGACGCGGGTGCGCTGATGCCAGAGCGCGTACCTACCGAAGAGATGTGGCGCGGCGAAGAGGACTTGCGCGGAGTTGAAGAGTTTGTAGCGTGGTTCGCGGGACAGCGCATGAAGGAGATGATGGAGGTCGGTAGTGGGGACGGTGAGACGGATGCTACAGATTATCTCAATGGTTGGTTCCTATCGATGGCTTCCAGGAAGCACAGCTGACAGCGGCTTCACAGCTTTGAAGAAGAAACACAGTAAAACCGGCGAAGACGCTAAGTACCACGGCACGATACTCGGCCGTGGCCACGACACAGGCGAGATCCAAGTCGAAGGAGGGTCAGAGACGACCATCGCCGAATGGATCTCCAACCGTGCCTCGCCCCAAAGCAGCCCGACGCCCGGCGAAGAACAGCAGCCTGATGAAGATCAGCCTCCACAGCAGCAAGCACCTCAACAAAACGGCCATGCTAGTGACGATGATTCGGGGCTGAGCTCGGTCGGTGATCGTATAGATCAGGATACAATGGACTTGTCATAGTGAAAGACAGCGGCCGGGCAAAGCGAGACAAGCAGGCTATGGGAGCGGTGGTAAGAGTGATTGGTTCTTGGTTAATTGCATAGCGACGGAGTTCTTCAGGGAGGAGGGCGGCTAAGCTAAAGGGAATGAAAGATACTCGTTGGTCTCAGGGGGCTTTTTCTAGTCAGGGTTTCTTGCTGCTTTATTTGGGCTGATTTAATACCAAGTAGACGTGCACATGCAGAGCACTTATACGAGCGTTTCTAGAATTACATTTCATGATTTTTTCTTTTGTCAACCCTGAATGTTTCGTTGGGTATTCGGGGCCTTGGTGTTCTCTCAGAAGCAGAGTAATGTGTATATGCTCATGCAATGTTGTCTTCTATCATAAATCTTGATGAATGCTGCTTCTGCGCATATCTAGCATATAGAGTTACAGTGGGCATCGCCGAGCCCTTTTACACTATTATACATGATTTGAGTACATCAGCGATTATCCAAGCGCTGGCCATCAATGCTTCGCAATTTACTCCTTTGCCCCTTTTCGTAACACATCATACACCCCCATCTGCTCTGCAGCTTCCTTGAACATCTTTCTCCTGAGAGCATCGTCGCCTTCGGTGGGCCAATATCGCTTTTGTAGATATTCAAAAAGCGCCTCGCCGCGACGCTGACCCTCAAGACGAGAAGCATCTCCCTCGGCCCAAGAGAGAAGACCACGATCAAGATCTCGCTTGGCAGTCATGAGACGGCGTCGATGGGTCGGCGAGTCCCATTGCAACTTGGTCGTCTCCAACATCAGCTCGAGAACGAGCGTTTCGGGAGGTATGAAACCGAAAGCATCACGGAGAGTCGACAATGCAACGACAAAGCCTGTATTATCCTTGATGCGACGGAAAGTATGTAGGATCTTACGTGCGAGCTGACCACCCATGCCATCGGGTTGGAAAACATGTCTGAACTTGACAGTCTCGGCGAACATGGCACGAGTGGGCTCAGCCTGATCGGGTACAAAGCCAGCTGAGACGTGGAGGCGGTTGACGGCAAGCGTCTTCCATAAAGCGCTAAATGTATAGGGATCAGGCTCAATGCCCTTTTCCGATACGAGCGTTAGGTATAGGTTTATAGCTTCCTTCGATTGTCCTGCTTGGATGTACGACTCGAGGAGCTGATTGATGATGAAGGAGTCAGCCTTCATATCCGCTTCACGGAAAGCTTCCCAGAGCATCAGAAGTCGATCGTGTAAATCTCTCACTCGATAGTTCTCCGCCAATAGAGAGAAGGTTTCCAGGGTTGCTCGTGGTAGAGGTAGAGTGTCGTCTTTCTGTAAAGGCTCGCTTTGCAAACCCACGTCATTTCCTCGAGATTTGACGAACCGAATTCGAGTCTCAATCATGCCCCAAGCCATTTGATCCGCCTTCTCGAGATCTTCAATACCGCCAGCCCGTTGCCAAGCCGCGATGAGACCATTCAGCTGGATAGGAGCTGGCTCAATACCCTTTTGGCCCATAAAGTCCACAACGCTGTGAGCTCCGTTCAGATCGCCAGCACCAATCAACCTCTTCAGCCACTTTCCAAAAAAGAACTTGTTGGCGACCACTGATGGCATATATTTTTGCTTCTTCAAATCGATTTTGCCATCGCTCATCATGTCAACGAAGGCATACAAGGCATTCTCGGTCTGGTGTGTAGTCAGGAAGTATGATATGACTTGATCATAGTCAGCTAGCTTCATATCGTCTCCAAGAAGCTCGCGGAGTTGGCGGTAGGCAGCCCAAGCCTTCCCCTGTGCCTCTTCCGTGCCCAACTCAGACCATGTCCTAATTAAAGGCATCAGAATGCGAGGGTCGGACTGCTTCTGGACTAGTTTGCTGATGGCTCGCTGTGCCTCTTCCAGATCACCTGTTCGGCAATACATCCTCACTCCAAGCTCCCAGAACTCTTGAAATGTTTCGGCATTTTCGTTCCCAAGTGTGCTCAGACATCTCCTCCAGTTCTCGATTGCTTTCGACTCCCATCCATCAACAAAAACCGCCTCAATTGTGAGGAGTTGCTGAGCAGGGTTCAAGGTCACGTTTGCCTCGCTCATGTCTCGAGCGAGAAGTGCAATATGTGATAGGCGATGAATATTGACAGACTCATCGGCTGAGAAGATCTTCCACAACAAATCCCATACTTCAAGGGGGACATGACTCCAGCCGTGAGCTAGAGACAATCTGGCTGAGTGATAAGCCTTGAACACCCCTTGCACAGTCTTTGCTGTGAGTTTGACATCGCGGCGATGATCCCTGGCAGTCTTTGATAACGCAGTATTGAGGCGGGCAATCTTTTTGCGTTGGTTAATTGTCCATGGCTTTTCCGGAATTTGAGGTAACGTGATTCGAGAACCCAGATTACCAAATCCTGGCAAGCCTGGAAGTTCCGAGTCCAGTCTCTCCAACAGCTCTTTTGGTAGGTCTGCGCCAGTTTTGTCAATCTCCTCATCGATCGCGGCTGTATATGCGTCCAACTTGGCAATAATTCTCTCGAGGTCGGCTGCCGTCTTCATGTTCTGCCATTCGGGGCCCAGTTGATCAACCACATCCTGAAAAGCTTCTTTTTCGTCCTTTCCACCGATATCGTCTTTGATTTCCAGAAGTGCTTCCTTGAGACCTGATGTATCGACTTCGTTCAGTGATGCGCCAAACGCTTCTTCTCCAGAAAGTTCAGTTCTCTTGTTGTTGTCTTGCTCGAAGAACCGCACACTGAATGACTCGTTTCCGTCCTTCTTGGGATTTCGAAGAGACTTAATCCGGTCAATGTACTGCTGCAGCTCAAATCTGCTGGGCTTCTGTGCGGCAGCATCATCGATTGATCGCTGTGTAGTGGCTTTGGTACTATATGATGCCGCTATTCGTAGTCGTGCCGGCCGTTGTCGAATTGCCAACCGGCAAGTTCGACATATTGTGTCATTGCTGCTTCGTAGCTCGCGTAAAAGCGGTCGGCCCGCCATTCTCAACACATAAGGGCCCAAGGTAAAGAAGAAGCTTTGGCGAGACTGACGCTGAACCTTTTTCAGAGGTTATCGATAAGAATTTGAAGAACGGATCTGCCACTTACAAGAGGTTTGGGGAAGCCATCCTCACCGCCTTCTGTATTAGGCTGCAAAGGCAACTTTTCCAGTGGCAGAAATTAATTTTTGTTTGGTACTCGTCGGAGGGCTGAAATATTGCGACTCCCAAGATAACAGCAGCAAAATGTCGAATTCCACGCCAGAATTCCTCCGATTCACAGGACATAGATCCTTCACCCAGCGTCTAATTCTCTCGACGCTGACTGGTAGACCTATCCACATTTCCAAAATCCGAAGCACATCGCCTACGAATCCAGGTCTTGCCCCCCATGAGATTTCCTTCTTGCGCCTGCTTGAGGCTGTCACCAATGGCAGTTCCATGCAAATCTCTTATACCGGTACCACTATAACATATCACCCTGGCCTGATCACCGGAACTATCGCTGGTTTTGGCGCTTCCGACGGCGATGTCATTGAGCACAACGTCTCTGTTAACAATACCCGCGGCGTCACCTACTTCCTTATGCCTCTCTGTTTACTTGCGCCCTTTTCCAAGGCGCACATGAACGTCCGATTCACTGGTCCTGGCGTTATCACATCGTCCACCGAGACAGGAGACATATCCGTCGATTCTTTCCGAACTGCCATCCTCCCTCTCTTTGCCTTGTTTGGCATCCCTCCTGCGCGCATAGAGCTTAGGGTACTTCAACGATCATGCGCTGGACCCGGTGGAAAGGGTGGCGGTGGCTGTGTGGAGTTGCGATTTGCAAGTCAAGTGCGACTACCGAAGACTCTGCATCTCAACCGAAGCCCTGGTCGGATAAAGCGCATTCGCGGTGTCGCATACTGTACTGGAGTATCTGCCTCCAACAACGCCCGCATGATTCACTCAGCACGAGAGATCCTGAATCCTTTGGTTTCCGACATTCATATCGCTGCGCAGTATGACCAAGCACCTCTTGTACCCACTGGCGACAAGGCAGGAAGCAAGAGACGGCTTGGAATAGGATTCGGCTTGAGTTTGGTCGCTGAGTCAAGCGCTGTTGGAATTCTCTACTCTGCAGACGTTGTCGTTCCTCCCCAGGGCGGCATTGTTCCTGAGGATATTGGAAAGCAGTGCGCTTTCCAGTTACTGGAGAACATCTCCCAAGGTGGCTGTGCAACCCAGGTTTCAGCCAAGACTATGCTTGTGCTTATGGCTATGGGGTCGGAGGATGTTGGCCGTCTAAGAATCGGTAGGGAAGTGCTCGCAAACGAAGAGATGGTTATCCTTGCGAGGGATCTGAAGACATTTGGCGCAAGCAGTTGGGGTTTGAGGGACGTTGGGGACGATACGAATGATATCATTGTTTCTGTTAAAGGCACTGGCGTTGGTAATGTTGGAAGAAAGATAGCGTAAAAGCACAGGATAATCCATTTATACATTTCCGATTTCAGACCTTGAAAATTATTCAAACGCGCTAAATTGATATCATTGTCTATCGTTCTGAACTGTTCGAGCTGGCACATTGAGACCTCGTCTCCGCGCTTCAATGGAAGCCATAGTTGCTCCATAGCTAATTGTACGGAGAGAATATGCGGCTGTTCTCTCAATATTCAACGCTGCATTGTGAAGTGAGTGAAGGACATGATATTCGCCGATGATCGCATTTCCGGAACTCAGGACATCAGACAGATGTGACCGTGTTGGTTCATGGATCGGTGGTTCTCTAGCCGACGGCTCTGATTCTCCCGAGGTTGAGTTGGCCTCTTCAGTTGTACTGGTGCGTCGCAAGGGTTGCAACTCGATGCCATCCTCCTCATCAGCTGGTAATGAGCCGGGCATGTCCCTTGATACTCCACGCTCTTCCGCATCCAGATCTTCTATGGTAGGACCCATCTCCTGAGCCACGTCAGGTACCATAGGTCGGAAGGTCTTAAGAGTCACCCGTAGTCTCTCCCGCTCAGTATGGACCGTCAGCATTAAGCATTGGACGGCGAGGATCATGACATCTACTAGAACATAGTAAATGCGAGAGGTGGGGGGCTTTTGCCCTATGAAGTCGATCACCAGGCCACCGTGCATATAGCCTCGGTGGTAGTCAGGACCGACAGGCAGAGAAACAAAGATATGCAGAAGTATGCAAATGATGTTGGGAATGAGAACGAGACACACGTGTATAGGACTCGCAGGCATTAAGAACGGAAATGATTCATCCTTCGGCGTGAGGTATAAGTACTGGCCAACAGATCTTAGGATGAATCGAAACATTGAGCACCTAGAGGGGCATCACTGGTAAGCGGAGTTCAGGAAAGATGCGCAAGTGGTCGAACATACTCCATATAGTACAATCCACTCAGCTCCGCGAAAACCAGGGTATCAAGACTCCTGAGCAAATGTGTGACCAATTCCAACTTTCTCGCTAATCCAGGGTTGCGCTTCTTCCTGCTTTTCTTCTTCTTGCGACGCTGAGGGTGCAACTGGGCGCGCGACCGAGCTGATCTCGAATGCTCGCGTGGTAGGTTCCATGTGACACGGCTGCCGGATGAAACATTGACTGATTCGGCCGTGGAAGCTTCATTCGGCGCCGTAGAGCTCGGCGAGGCATCATCGCTCATTCTCGAGTATCGTCATCTACATCTGCATCTGAAGGGGAGCTAGTTCTGCATGAGCAGGGTGACAGCTCAGGAGAAGCACGTGTGGCTCATGAAGTGTTGGTGGGAGGTGTATGGCTGCAGCAGAGAGTTGTCTAATAGATTCAAGGTATGTATAGCAATGTAGTTTCGACTGGCGCTATGGGAATGTATGATATCGACTACAGGAGGCTCGTGAATTGAAGTGAGTTGTTGCAACATGAAGCGACTTGAGGCGCCATGATAAGATTGCAGGGATTACATGTAACAACCGCCAGGGCTTAGGTGCATCGGCAGACTCATCCATACCTACTAAAGATACCTGGGTCCTACTTTTGGCACTCTGGCCGGAAAAAGAATGGCCCGATGATGGCGGGACAGATGCCTTCCCACAAGCACCTACCAGAGTACCCCGCCATCGGACCGCTAAGGTATGGTGGGCGACGCAGCACTCCAACGGCCCAAATAATTTCTGCCCTCCGTGACTCAGACGAACAACGACAGGTCAAGAAGAGCCAGCTCGCCATTTTGCTCTTGGCTCCTCACAACCCAAAATCCTCCGACATGACGACTTCAAGCTCCGGTCCTTCAGGGGATCTCACCTCCCAGATCCTTCAGGCCCTGTCGGAAAAAAGCCCCTTGCTCTCCTCAGAGGCCTTCCCCACTATCGCCTTCCAGGACATCAAGGCTGCACTTGATCGTCTGGCTTCACGATCTATGATCACATACGAGACAATTGATAAGGAAGAGGCTATCCTTGAGCCCGAAGCGGAGCAAATTGCCGAGCATGGCAGTCATGAGGCGCGTGTTTTTGAGGCGCTTCGAAACGCCGTGGAGGGGTTATCGATCCAGGACCTTGAGAAGGCCATTGGCGACAAGACGGTGACCAAAGTCGGACAGGGCAAGGCTTTCAAGGAAAAGTGGATTAAGAAGAGCGCCGACGGCAAGCTGGTAGCCACTGTATGTCGAGCTCATAAGTTCTATATATGGATTTGGATCCAGCTGTGAGCTAACCTCAAGTAACAGGCTGAGTCCATCGAAGATGTCACCCGAGCGCAGCTACAGAAGATCAAGGAGACACGGACACACGAGCCCAAAATCTTGACCGATCTGCGAAAACGAAAACTTATCAAGATGCAAAAGGTCATCAGCTTCAAGATTGAAAAGGGGCCCAAGTTCGCCCTCGAGATTCAGAAGGAGGAGACCGACTTGACAGCCGACATGATTGCTTCTGGATCATGGAAGACTGCCAACTTCAAGCCCTACAACTTCAAGGCTCTCGGCGCGGACCAAAATGCTGGCGCACTTCACCCCCTGAACAAGGTCCGACACGAATTCCGACAGATTTTCTTCGAGATGGGTTTCGAGGAGATGCCTACCAACAAGTTTGTCGAGACTGGATTCTGGAACTTCGATGCCCTCTTCGTGCCCCAGCAGCACCCCGCCCGTGATCTTCAAGATACCTTCTACATCTCAGACCCCAAGGTGGGAGACGCGCCACGATCAGAGGAAGGACAGAACACAGAGGAGTACTGGGAGAACATCAAGCAGGTCCACCAGAACGGCAAGTTTGGGTCAATCGGTTACAGATACCCCTGGTCAGCGGAGGAGACTAAGAGACTGGTGCTCCGAACCCACACTACTGCCATTTCAACGGCTATGCTTTACAAGCTAGCAGCGCAGAAGGGACCTGATGGACGCCCACCTCCAGCGCGATACTTCTCTATTGATCGTGTTTTCCGAAATGAGACAGTTGACGCAACCCATTTGGCTGAATTCCATCAGGTTGAGGGTGTTATCGCCGACTACGGTCTTACCCTTGGTGGTTTGATGGAGTTCATGGAAGTCTTCTTTGCCAAGATGGGCATCACCAACCTCAAGTTCAAGCCGGCCTACAACCCTTACACCGAGCCCAGCATGGAAATCTTCAGCTATCACGAGGGCCTGGGCAAGTTGGTGGAGATCGGAAACAGTGGCATGTTCCGACCTGAAATGCTGGAACCCATGGGCCTGCCAAAGGACATGCGGGTGTTTGGCTGGGGTCTGTCCCTGGAGCGACCGACCATGATCAAATACAAGATCTCTAACATCCGAGAGCTGCTGGGCCACAAGGTTGATCTCAACTTCATCGAGCGGAACCCTGCTGTGAGATTAGAGAAGGAGTAAAAGGTTTTTTATGGATCTGTAATAGGTAAAAAATAAGAACAAAGGAAAGATACGTATGATGCCTGCTGTGTGTCTTAGAGAGCGGCATCTAGAGGACCCGGTGTAGCTGGTAGTATCATGACTAGACGAAATAAGAAACAAATTGGGAAACCCCGTTCAAGCATACGTATGTACGTCTGGATCTGAGATTAGGGGTCCCCTGACGAGATGATGGCTGATGAGGACAGACCTTGACTAGAGACGGGAATCGAGGCTTAAGATGGAGTCGTGTCGTCAGTGAAGCTTGTCTCAGAGATAGCGCCCCACAAGTAATGAAGCAATTCACATCGTTGACGGTGATTACGCACACGACAGCTGGACCCTTGTTTTGAGGATTCTCGGCAGTTAGTATTGTCCTAATGTGTCTAATGGTAGACTGGTATTAGTGTCTGTGAGCCTGATTCTTTTCCATGTGATCGATGGCATTACATGATAACCCACGACTGCAAGTTGCGAGTCCAGCTACTGCGTTCCCCCGCTTTCGGCATCTTCCTTGTCAGCTTTGTCTCTCGATGGCTCTTGGGCCCCACGGCTCCGAACAGATCGGCCCCACGACCCTTGAGCCCCGCCCCGCGTGTCTGCAGGCTAGGACGGGTGCATCCACTTCAAACCTCGTCATTGAGATCCAGAGATGACTTTGACGTCTGTTATTCATGACGGCTATCGAGGATGTGCCTGCACCCTGTACCTACGTAATGCTCACAGTACCATATCGCCCTGCGTCTCGAGGAAGCAAACGAGCAGCTCGGAGTAGGCAATTGATCCTCATGAACTTTGTAAAATGCAACGCTGCCTGCAAGCAAGCATTGGCTTATGCATGATACCTAAGGTAGGTAGCTACTTGTCGGTTGCGGCCTGGGGACAGTAAACGCCTGTGGCGTCCTTCCCCGCGTACAGTTACTGGCGGTTGTGATTCCCCTGCCAAGTTGATGGGTGGTGTGACCTCTCTCAGCTCTGCTTTGAGGCCTTGACAAGACCTCCCAGGTTCTCCGCGTTTGGATTGTAGGAGGGATCAGCAGTAAAGGGATCAAAGAGTCATGATGCTCACTGTTCATAAGCGAGATGCGCATCGTTTCACCGTTTCGACCCCCTCGAAACTTTACCTCAGATTCGTAGGGAAGCTTTTCCAGTATGCGACGATCGCAACGTGCTGGTTGGCCATATAGCTCCCCAAGGGAACTGTCACAGACAGCAAAACAGAGGCGAATGGGGACGCCACTTTTGTCATGGTCTGGTTGGCTATGCTCCAAAAAGGATGTCCGGCACGTTTGAATGGGATGTCCGGCAAAGCTTATGTATTGATGCATCTATTGGCCAGTTCGCTTGCAGCTCTACAGTGATGATGGGTGATTGACATCTTCCCGTGGCACGCGAGATCAAGCCCTGGCTTGGTCGAGGCATCCCTAGCTCAGACAGAGTAGCACTTGCTCTTCCCTTTGCTGCAACAAGAGAGGGAAAGGTCCATGGATCGACGTGAACTGGCCTGATCTCCCCCCCCCCCCC